TGTGTGTGTGTGTGTGTGTGTGTGTGTGTGTGTGTGTGTGTGTGTGTGTGTGTGTGTGTATGTATATATATCCATCCAACTATGTTTTTTATTTGGGATCATATTTCCTGTGTTGGAAGGCATTCTGGAGAAAAGCTACATAATCTGGCCATTTGTGAAGCTTAATGTGACTTTTTATTAAGTTTTATAATAACCTATTTGTTCAAATCATTATAACAAACTCTGATTAATGCATTTATAATGATAGCAACTTCATGTACATGTATCACATTTCTAGGTTTTACAAAGCAATCTAATTTTTAGCATCACCTCACTTACTGTATGTTTTGGATTTATTGAAACAGTATAATTACATTCAAAGTATAAATCATTGTACAATTTTTATTATAACTATATGATGCAACTGAACCATGTAACCTTATTCAATGAAATTTTATTACAATTTTAAGATTTTTGACTTTGACTTTTGCGCTTTAACATAGGAGAGGGCAGGAGGGCTGTTCTGCAGGAGAAATTTATAGAAGTCGCGGATAAGCTTAGAAGCAGAACGTCCACGGTGGTATTCTCTGGAATGCTTCCCGTGCCACGTGCAAGTCAGGCTAAGTTAGCTGAGATAAGGCGATTAAATGTGTGGCTAAAAGGGTGGTGTAGGAAAGAGGGGTTTAGGTTTGGGGGTTAGGGTCAGGGTTAGGGTTAGGGGGCACTGGAAGACCTTCTGGAACAGGTGGGACTAGAAACTGTAAACTGGATGGAGTTAAATAGCGAAAACGGTTGAAGAGGCATGGGACTGTTTTAAAAGCACATTGTTGCAAGTGCAAGAGAACTTCATACCGGTTTCCAGCAAAACTAAATCTAGAAAACTGAAGCCAAGGTGGTTTACTACGGAAATTAAGAATAAAGTCAGGAGGAAAAGGGCTCTGTTCCACAAATGGAAAATAACTAATGATTTCAAAATAAAGCAGGAGTATCTAAGTCTACAGGTTGAGATAAAAAATAACATTAGACTCTCCAAGAGGAATGTAGAAAGAAAGATTGCATTGGAGGCTAAGGATGACAATAAAAGTTTCTTCCAATAAAGAGCTCTAAAAGCGGAAATCACTAATTTGCAGGATAGTAAGGATCTTATACTTGAAAATGAAATTAATATAGTAAATGAGTTTAATGATTATTTTACACTGGTGTTCACACTAGAGAACACAAGTAACCTACCACCATTTAGTATGAATACAGTGTCATCTATGAGCAATACATATATAACTGAGCTAAGCTCAAAATAAACAAATCGCAGGGCCCTCATGGCATCTTGCCTATAGTTTTAAAAGAGATGAGGGATATTATTAGCCAACATGGATCAGTACCTGCCATGAAGGTACAACCCCACTCTGTGGAAAGTGCCGGAAGCTTGCGCACTCTTCCTGTGGGTGGAAAAGATTTTTGGCAAGGTTTGTTCTTAACACGGATCCTCAGGAGGTAGGGGAGGTCCGGTGGTGTATGGGGGAGGTGGAATGAGCAGCACAGCCCACCACAGATTTGCCCGCTGGTCTCCTACAACCCATTGTGGATGATCCCGCATGCTTCCAACAGCTTGATGCGGTTGAACCCGCTGAACCTGCAGCTCCTCCTACCACAGGCAGTCGCAGGTGAAGGAGAATGAGGAAGCCTTCAGAGCCTGGGCCAGGAGGGGGCGCTCCACACGCTTCATGTTCCTGGACCCCAGAAGCTCACTCCGCTCAAACCTGGCCCAAGAGCAGCCATGTCATCGGACCCCGGTTGAGATAAGATCGCGCATCCGGCCGGAACACTGTGCTGGGTTGCTCAGCATGTTTGGCTTTGTCCGCCATCCTGATGTCTTGGCCTTACTCCACTCGCCATCTCCAGCCATCACGTCGGCTCCTGCCTTGCAGTCCCCGTTGTCATCGTCATCATCCTCAGTGGCCTCCAAGAGGCTGCTGTAGTTGGGGGTACTGCTGTGGAGGCAGATCTATCCTTGTGTCCTGCCATCGCCCAGGCACCTCTGCGCTAATGGCAGCCAGGGAGTCGGGCGTCGGCCTGGTGGCGATCAGCAGAGGATGAGGCACATGCCTCATGTCCTGCCATCGCTCAGGCAGCCCCTTCATTGTTTGCCAATTGTAGCCAGGCTGGCGCCCAACTCCCTCGTCGCCCAGGCTGGCGCGCAACTCCCTCGTCGGCCTCCTGCTCCGGTCCTGCAGTCACCTCAGTGTCCTCTGGCCCCTCACTACCCTCTAGCCCTGGTGGCCCTCTGAGGCTATCCTGTTCTGTGGTCCGGAGAGGGTTCCACCTCACCAGTGAACACTCTCGGGTAGATCCATGGCCCAGGGTCATCTCCCAGCTTCCCAGGGTCTGGAAGACTCCCCAGACGCCCCGTTATCCCTCTTCACGCCACAGTTTTTGTCCCATTGTCCTATCTTGTCATTATCTCATCCTGACTATATCCCCTGTAGTCCTTTCCTATGTCACTGTCCCTGTCTTTGTTGTCCCTTCACCTCTCTACCCTGGCCTGGTGTATGTTGGTCATCCTCTATGTTGCCCGTGTAGTCCTGCCCAGATCTGTCACATGCTCCTAGTTTGTGTCTTGTCCCATGTCCCGGATTGGTACCCATCTGGTGTTCCCAGGAGGGGTGCGTCCCTATCTGATATATATCGTTTGTCCCGTCTTCATCAAGACAATATGTAATGCAAAATAAATAGGAGAAATAGGCCTATATTGCTGAAGAATCGAGAAAATCGTGATCTCAAATCTGAGGGGAAACAACTTATTTTACCCAGAATCCTGCAGCCCTGATGCTCTTTTTACTTTTCTGTTGCAGGCAAAAAAAAACAACATGTAACATTAGCCTATTGTGTACTGGCAAACAGCTGCAGGTGCATCGTCCATGTCTGGACCCACATGAGAACCAGCTGAGAAAGGAAGTGATAGGGAAGATAAAGATCAAAACGCTGATGTTCAGCATACCCACTTGCGAAAGGTCAAAGCAGGTGGATGGTGCAGATCAAACTCTCACTGTGGTTGTTGATATTGGACAATTGGAGACTGTGTTTAAAAAAAAAAAAAAAAAACACCTTTATGGTCAGGCTGAGGCAAATTTTAACTTTATCCGGGGATATTGGAAAATATTACAAATATTTTATTTTAAAGCTAGTAATAAGGGGTGGTGCACGAATATTAAAGTACACTGCATTGTTTGTACACCTGACGTGGAGACGCTGCCTATCTGTACGCCCCGCCCCTTCTACCTTAGCGGTGTCTACATTCCACCAAGCACCAACACCCAGGCAGCTGCGGAGATAGTGGCTGAGGACGGCAGCTCCATGATGGCAAAATATCCCGACGCCCCGGTGTTTACTGCGGGTGGTTTTAACAACTGTAAACTCGACGCTGTTTTGCCATCTTTTTATCAGTATGTGGATATTCCCACTAGGAATCTTAATACTCTGGGCTTATGTTATGGTAACATCTTTGACGCCTCTGACCACAGTGTTGTCTTCCTGCTACCTCACTACAAACCGGAACTGAAGTACATCAAACCGCATGTGCACCACGCCACCCTCTGGTCAGAGGAGGCAACTGAACGACTACAGGGTTTACTTGCATGTACAGATTGGGACATCTTCCAGGGTGATCTGAACCATAAAGTTTCCGTAATTACGGACTACATCAAGTTTTGTATTTATTCCACTATCCCCGCCAGAATTGTCAGGAGATATCCTAACTCCAAACCCTGGATCACTTCCCATATGAAGTACAGCTTGAAGGAAAAACACAAAGCATTTCTACGCAAGGACTGGTCTTCTGTCGTCACTCAATAGACAAGTAAAGAATGAGATAATCAATGCCAAACTCAAATATAAGGATAGACTGGAGCAGGGGTTCAGTACAATGAACACCAATCAGGCCTTCCATATAGTAAAGTTACTCACTGGTCAAATACCCGGCCATGACCTTCATCCCATAGCCACCGATATTACCACCTTTGCTGACTCCTTAAACTCCTTCTATACACGGTTCGATAACCAGGCCTACTCTGCTGTCTGTGAGGAGCTGCTCAATGCCCTTCCCTCTGATGATCCTACATACCCTCCTTTTACTGTAGAGGATGTGAGCAGATGCAAAGTTGGCAAGGCAGCTGCGCCTGACGGTATACCAGCTAAAGTACTGAAGCTATTTGCCACAGAACTACCTCCCATCCTCCATTCCATCTTCTGGGACTCATGCAGATTGGTGACTATTCCTACAATTTGGAAAACATCTACCATCGTTCCGGTATCTAAGAAACCTCGTCCCTCTGAGCTAAATCATTATCAGCCGGTAGCACTCACATCCATAATAATGAAATGTCTAGAGAAACTTACACTTCATATAATCCAGCCAGCTGTCAGACCGCAGCTGGACTATACCAGTTTGACTCATACCACCAGATCTATCTATCTATCTATCTATCTATCTATCTATCTATCTATCTATCTAATACTGCGTACTAAAAATATAATTCAATAATATTATACTGACTTAATTTAAATATTATTGTCGTGTCCAGAGGAATGAAGGACATGGGAGCAAGCTTGGTAAATAACTAGCTCTGTACTGTTCTATTTGAAACCTTGTACTGTATAGCGGTCCAGCGGACATCAGCATTCGACGTTCAGAAGACGTTGTAAAAAGACATCATAATAACTTTCATTCTGGCTCCTCAGGGGACATCATTTCTACGTATGACAATGACGTCGAAAAGACATCGTTTAGACGTATATTTGCACAGTGGGTAAAAGGGGTTTTATTAAACTCAAAAGGACACAAACAAAAACAGGATCTCAGGGGATTTAAATGGGTGGATCAGAGGAAGGCTAAGCACAGCCTACACAAGGTTATGACTTCAATGACGGAACTGGGATATACAAGACTGGGAAGCATTTAAATATATGACTAATGAGGGAACAAACAAGATGCGGCTGGAAGTGATTAATTACAGCCATCTTAAGAAAGTTTATTCTGTAAGGACTAGGCTAATTCTACTTAATTCATCCACGCTAAACAAAGTTAGGTGAGGTTGACACAAAAACTTGTTGTGGAGTATTTGCAATATATAAGCACAAAGTACTGGGTGTTACAGAATCTTAGATACCAAACGCAAGCAGACATGAACAAAGGCAAAAGAAAATGTTCAAAGAACTTCAGTGCATTTGAGAAGACCCTCTTCAAACAAGTTGTGTTAAAGTACCCTGTAACTGAAAACAAACAGCATGATTCAGGAGCAGAAAGCTGGAAGAAGAAGAAATGGACTTCCATTTTGAAAGAATTCAACTAAAATGGACAAAGAAACAAAATAGACACTCCAACATGTTCAGGTAAGATTATATATTGTTGCCCCAATATTACAAATCAGTCAATTGTAAATGTTTTACGTAACATAAAAGATGGGGCTAACAAGTATGTGCACCAAAATGTAACATATTTACATAGAAATCCTAATTCAATGTCTATATTATCTTTCAATGGTCCTGTGGAAAAACATTAAAATAAACTTGGGGGGAACCACTGTTCTTTGTAGAGAGCATTTCAAGACAGGTGGGGGACCCTCAGTTACACCAGAGACAGAGAAGTTGGGGAACTTCTTGACTGGGATTATTGAAAGTCAACAACCTTTGGAAGGTATTCCAGATGACCATTTGGAAAGTTCAGGTGAGGGAACATTCCAAGACTCTATAGTAGGACACATCTCATTCACCATGTGCTATCCCACCCAATATACTTTAACGTGAGTCACGTCTTGGTCTCATAATAAACATGGTGTAATGACCTCAGCTCTTGAACTCAAATGTAATCCAAGATGTTTTTCTATACAACGATGACCTGATCTTCACCCAGATAGTAGGGGGCACAGTCAGTAAGTTCAGTCGACAACAACAAATCCAGCAGCACCTGCATGCATCAGCCAGCAGTATCCAGCATCAACAGCAACCAGCAGTCCCTAATCCAGGCAGCAGGCCAAGAGGGAAAAGGCTGACCATTCATAAGAAACGTGCCATAGAATTCCATGAGCATAAATTACAATATTTAAAAAGAACATGTCAAGTTCTTTATCTTGAGTTTTCCAAGAAAGACATGGTGAAAGAAATGAAGTGGCAGCAGTGCCATTTTCTTTGGAACCAAAATTCTGAAGTTTTCTTACCAAACCATGCCAATCATTTATGTATCACTCAAGAGACACTTGTTAGGAGAAGTGCCGCAAAGCAAAAGCATCTCTGTAAGCAAGTCCATTCCTGTCATCGGTTGGCTCCGCCATGGCAATGTCATCATCTTCAGTACGTATCAGGGTCTGGCCAGCCATGCTGTTTGAGAAAATTGTGAAGTACTGCAGTTGCGATAATAACAAAATGCCAGAACATGCATTGTTTTCTAAAAAGTCTTAATGAAGAAGTACCAATTTCGGAGGGCATTATTTAAGAAATCATACAGTAAAATGTCTGCAAAGTCAGGATAAAGTGTAACAGTTGCTGTTTCACATTATATTGAGCTGTATAACAGACATACTGACATTAACAAGATAATTTGTCATCATTTGGGGATTTCTTCAAAACAGCATCCCTTATTTAAGTGGCATGGGTCTGCCGAATAAGAAGCTGATGAAGAAGCAAACCTTGTATTGAAGTTGGCATCCAACTTCAAATAATAGAGTGAGACGTATTTATTGATTTAATGTTAGAGCAAATATGATGTGGGAAGTAACCTTTTATAAAACTATTACAAAGCACTTGCTTTTTTTTTCCCCCATCTCAAAACTTACCTGATTACTGAAGGTTTAGAATCAGGTTTCCGCAATTGCAGTCCTGAAGAGCCAGAATCCAGCAGAGTTTGCAGATTTCCCTGCTCAAACACGTCTTAGTCAGCTACTTACCAGGTTAGGTAGCTGTGTCTAAGCAGGGAAATCTGCAAAGTCTGTTATAAACTTGCCCTCCAGCACCATAATCGGGGAACCTTGATCTACATGTACTACTTGCTAGGCTATGCTATATGGTTGTTGTTGTATTGAATATAAACAAAATGCTTGATAAAGTTACCATTTTAACTGTAGGGATATCAAACATACCAAGGCAACACAACATAGGGCAACAGCCTGGATAGGACCACATGAGACATAAAAAAAGAAGAAATGCCCTCTTTATTCAAGATGTCAAAAGCACACTGAGATGTAAAATAGTTTAAAACAGCAATCAATGACAGCATTATTTTTCAGAGACAATTGAGTATTGCAAAAATGTTTGAATATAACAGTCTTACCAGAAGCATGTTTTTGACCTAACACACTTAAAATCACATTAACACGGTTCAATACAGTTTTCAACATGAAGTCTTTTTCTGAAATTCAAGGTAAATATTCACTGAAAACTTTAACTGTACACAAAAACGACACCAGAACACACACAGCTAGATACAACACAAATACTTTTTCTTACAAAACAAATAGTAAAGTATAAAGAGACATTTGGTATTTTAAAACTAGCTGCACTCACAATTTTAAAATCTGGCACATCCAGTCACATCAGTGCATCTATAAAATGTGTTCTTCACTAAAACAGATTTTTTTTTTCCCCAAAAGAAAATCTGTGGCTGCACTTAAACTCAGCATTCACATTTTTGTTTTTACAATTGGTACATTTCAAAATAATTTTACGTTTAAGCGTTTCCTCTACCTTTTAAATGTTTCCACCTTTTTTAATATGAAGGAAAACTATTCCATATGTTGGTGTCATTAAATAGTGGTTAAATATGCAGATATTGTCCCTTATTCCCTGATTAAATAACTGTTTACCTGAAGCTGACAATCATTGTTCTTCACTCTGATTAAATCAGTCCAACTAAGAACATAGAACATATTTAATCACAAAGAATGGGAGAATGTGACTTCAAAAGCTAAATCAACAATTAAAAACAAAATTCAAGAACAATATTTATGCTGTGCACAAATCAATGCAGTTCAATTACACAACATTATACAACAGATGGATTATACAATATTTGAACATATTATAATAATCAGTGCAATCTAAGGTTGAAAATAGGGGTGGGTAATCAGATTTTATATGGCGATTGATCTTGAGGATGTCCACAATCTACTGTTCATGCAAATTGTACACATCTTATGTCCTACTACAAATACTTCTAAACTTCACATAGAACATAGACAGTTTAAATATTAATGTGTGTCACAACGTAATCCATATCAGACTTCCTCCTCCGCTATGCCAATAGCTCAATTGTGGATCGTAATTGTGTGTTAAAAAAATCATGATATGATTTTTCAGGGAAGATCACCCAACACCTAGTTGAAAATCACTTCTATCATGTAACAATGCAATCATAGTTTCCTACCAGCTTCATTAAAATCTAACATTTTCCCCCTGAAAAGAGCTGAATGTATTAAGAGCTGAATCTTGTCTTTAAGCAACACTTGTATTAATGCAAAAATCATAAAAAATATTCCATGAATTTATCCTGAAATTACCCATCAAATTACACATCTCACAGTAGCATACATCATCATCTTTATAGGACATTACATTTTCACCTGCTGTCACTATGACTGAACCTTAAGCAGATGTCTGTCTGTCAAAAGTGTTCAGCAGGGAAATCAGCTTTGTTTAAGTACTCGTTGTGATTATAATTTGCAAGAACGTTTTAGTCTATCCACAGTGAGAAACAAGGTATAGTACCACATAGATAGCATGCAGGTTCATTGCAGGGCAGCAGATTTGAAACCAACATCACAGAGGAGGTACAAAGACATAATACGACAATCTGAGCCTCCAAACAGCCCGCAATACCTCTCTTACAAACATAAATGCATTTCATATTAATTCATTACATTGCTGGTTTTGGAAATGTATGCTAAATTCAGGCTTTCTGTGTTGCTTCCAGCTTAGCTCTTGAAGAATCTTTCACTACAGCATAACACGTGGGTGTTCCCACAAATTCCAGTAATTTATTAACCAGGGCATCACACTCCTGGTCCCTGCAGCCTGCTTTCTGCTGCCTTTTGACAAAAACAAACCCTTTATTAACTTTGAGAGAGTATCTGTCTAGGCACAATGCAGGCTCACATGCCTGTTATAAGGCACATACAATGAAAAAGCTCCCTGAGTTATTTTTTTTAATTTAGCCCTTTAGATGAACGTAAGAAAGACATAAACAGGTTTATCAATATTTATGCAATTATGATAATTAAGTACTCTAGAGCTGTGCTAATAAACTATCAGAATTCATTTCAAAATTTAGATTCAAGCCATCAGTTACTAGACAACCGAAATCATTTAAAATCAGAAGTTCATCAACAAGTCCATTTAATTTGATGTGGTTATGCAAGCCGTAATATGTAGAGTGCAACAGAATTAAGGCTAATTAATTAAGAACACTGTTGGAAAAATGAACAATCACACTCAGACTGTCTCTAGCACCTGACATACAGCTCTAACATTATAGAGTGGCTCTTCATTACCTATGGCTCCTACAGTGTATATCAGCAGATAGCGGTGGAAGCGGCACAGCACAATTTTAAATGCGACACCCATTCTGCTCAGTATCTGCCTCTGGCACCACAGGTAGAACTAAATGCGAGATCCGACTCCAAAGCCCACCTAATTTATCGGCATCAATTGTATCGAAAGAGGCCGGCTGGCCACTTGAGAGGAACCTGCCCTCGATGTGGTCCTGAACCGTCTCCTCCACTTCTTTAAGAGTGAGTTCCGGGTCGAGCTCCTCCACAGGCAAGAGGATGGTGAAGATGAAGAACGCGTTCTTAAAAGCCGCATTTTCGTGGTCGCAGTACTTGTAGAAGATGAGCGTGGATCCTGGAGGGAGCTCCCCGAACTGCTGAATGACGGCCACACCCTTGTCATCTGTAAAAGCTTCCATCAGCTTCTTGTCAATATCCAGTTTTACTTGGCTACTGTCTAGCAAGGCCTTGCTGGCCCCGTCGATCTGCACGACAGTCACGTTGAGGGCAGAAGACAAGGCAGTGGCTATGCAGACGGCCAGACAGTGCAACGTCTTCTTGGCCCCGAGTCCTGACGTCAAGATCATGCTGAACGGCTCTTTGGTTTGAATTGTCTTGAGATTCCTCATCAGAAGTATTTTACTCTTCTTCCACAGTTCTGCCCTTTGGCTGGGGAATTGAGATTCTAAATCCATGAACTGGGCTTCAAAGCCTTTTGTCATGTTCTTGTCATGAGGAATCGCTATATCTGTGTTATTGCCCACTAGGAGCAGGCACACCACTAGGAAGCAGAGCAAGACCAGAACCAATGTGGACAAGAGCGTCTTCGACCATCCTGTTTAGAGAGAGAAATTAATTAGCACTACAGGAAAATGAAGTTAAAAACATGCAACTTCAAAAGACGACAACTTTGCCCAGAAAGCAATGCCAGCCACAGCATAAAGCAAACGTGCTTATTCAGGGTAAACTGGTACCTTCTGTTCTTTCTTCAATATTTGGATTTTTGATGGTAATCCTTTTTCCCTGGTTTCTTGATGAATAGGACACTGCTAAATGAGGAAGCGAATTTGCATTCCACTGGTCTACTTAAGAAAAAAACATAAGTATTTATATAACTAGAAGAGACAAACACCCACACTCTCATCCTCACAACACAAACAAAAATCCAAATGGAAGGAAACAAGAGGGCTGTGCCACGAAACAGGATTTCTTGCTTAGCTGGATAACTTGTCGGATTTAAGGTAGTCTGAGCTAAATGTAAGGGAAAGAAAATAAAGTCCATTTAGCCCAGACTACCTTAAATTCAAGAAGTTATCTGGCTAAGCAAGAAATCCTCCTTCATCGAATACCCCCAAGATCACTGTCTTTATGACAGTACTAACAACATAAACAAAAATCCAAATGGAAGGAAACAAGATCACTGTCTTTATGACAGTACTAACAACACAAACAAAAATCCAAATGGAAGGAAACAAGATCACTGTCTTTATGACAGTACCTTTTATGTTGTCTAAGGTCACATCCCTGTGAGACTTCTGACAGTGAAGTGCAGCACTGTACTTTTCCTGTGATTGGACACCAGTTCCAGGAGAACAAGCCACTGGTCTTTGAGTGAAATCTGGGTGCAGAATGTGGAATACGGCACAGAATATGGAATAAGACGTGAAATATGTTTTGATACAGAGCTCCCTTTAATTATCCACAAGCAACAGCAAGAAACACAAAATACCTGTTCTGGCTTTTGTATAATTGTATCGGCTCCTTTCCGGCTCATCAGTGGGCATTTTAATAGGGATCCGGGATTCGGGGATTTTAGCAGGCAGGTGTTTTACACAGGGATCTAAAGCACAAAGTAAAAATGTGACAACTTCATACTGTATCTGCGATCATTCAGCTAAAAATCATTAATAGCACAAACACCCACATGTATGGGCCACAAAAAATAATAATCTGCTGGTAGTATCAAGTTTACTCATGCTTTATGAAAATATATCCAGGCTGTCACTGTTTAACCGATATTCGAACATTTGTTTGAACATGATGTGAAAAATTCACAATCTAACTATAATTAATCCATTTGATTTTTTAAAGCCTCACTGTAACCTATAAGCGCATTAGAACTTTTGTTGTCATTTTGTTGTTTGCCATCTATGGAGACCCTAAAAAGCACACACAAATACTGAAATACATTACAAATATTGAAAGATATTAGAGCTGGAAAACTGCATATAAAGCTAACTTTACCGCAGAGTTAAGGTTTAAACTCAAACCTGCTTTCTGGATTATTTCAGCACAGATCCGCATATCCCCACATACATCATAAAGTGAGAATACCAGAGAGGGATACCCCAAAGTGAGTTCGGGTTTATGGCACTGGGGTACAGTTAGCTTTATATTCAGCTTTCGGCTTTAATATCTTTCAACAAAAGCAGGCAACATCCCTTGGTTTTCCATATTCCCTTATGGGTGAATTTTAATTAATGTGTCAACGTTTGTGAGAGCACTTCAGGTTCAGTAGCCCAGCTGTCTTGCTTACAGTCACTGGCGGTGAATGGACACAGTGCCATTATTAATAAAAACGTACAAAAACACACATATATATTATATTGTCCCCCATAGTTTAAACCCAACTAGAAACCACTTTAAAAAACATATTTTCATATCCTATTAATTTCAATTTTTAAAAACCCATCTACAGTGACTGTAAATTCTATCTGACAAATTTCCAATGTATATAATCAAGGAATCTCTATCCAGAACCTAACTAACAGAAAAAACAAGCATAATAAAATTTGAACAATACCTTAATTAACAATACAAAACAAAATCCCAAATAAAGCACCATATAAATCCTATATAAACAACTACCTGCAATATTGCAACAATAAATTTACTTGCCTCTTTCCTTTTCATCACCTGCTCTGAAAAGTGACCTTCTCTCTGGTATCACATCTTCATTGAGGTTTTCCTCATCTTCTTGGATATCCATCGTGTCACTGTCATCCGGACTCCCGCCGTCCTCGGATACAGACAGCTTCCTTACCTTGTTAGGGGGCTCTAAGGAAAAAAAAATGCCCATAATCTTTATGTCTAGATTCATGTGCAATCATTTGCATGGTTACTGCTTGTCCAGAATAATGACAGTATGGATCGCCATCATTTAAAAAAACACTCTAACGTGTAATTTCGCTGACCCTCTGTTGTCACGGCACCATACCTTTAACAGCCTGCGAGATGTACGTTTGATCCTCTGAGCCGTTCATTTCCACATCTGGCATCCTTCTTCTAGTGCCACTCCTCTTATGCTCTTTGCTGGAATCAAAATCTGATGGGGAGGGGAGAGGGGGAGAGGGGGAGGGGGGTAAGCAAATGCTTTATGAATGCATGATAATGTATTATGAATCTGTTTATAAATCACTACAAACATGGCCTTAAGTAAAGTCTTACTGAATCTTGCATAACACAGAGAGGAACTCCTCATGTAGAGCAGGGACAGCCCTGGCAATGTCACCCAACACAACCCAATGAGCCACCATGCCTCCCCCACATAAAATAAATGCTAGTCAAAATAAAACGTTTTTGACAGCTATCACATAAAATACAGTACAGTACCTTGGATAATTTCACTGTCATCCATTACTACATCTTCCTGATCAGAGTCTTTTGCAAGCGTCTTGTTTGGGGTCTTATTTGTAGTGCGCCCCCTTTTCTTTATTATTGCTGTATTTGGGTTTTCAGTAGAAACTGCTGGAAATAAATAAATAAAATAGACTATATACATGCACAAATAACATATTACTCACGTGGTAAAACCTGTTAAAGGTATCAAGTAAAATTAATCATTACTAACCGTCATCTGACGAAAACATACGTTTTCTTCTTCTTGTTTCGGGGGCCATATTCGGGCCTGATTTGTAAAATTTTTACAGTGAATTATTTAAAAACTAAACCTTTTACTCCCGGAAACTGGGGACTGACTTTAAAAACTTTCGGTTTCAAGATTCACACGCTTTTCACAGAACAGAACTCGTAATTAGCCGACCTGCTAAAATGGCATGTCCTTCTACTATAAAAACTGCTTCCAAATACAGTTATTATTAAATATTGTGAAAATTGTAAACTTTGCACCCACTTCCGGGTGTAACTGCGCGCATCTGTAGCAGTCACTCAAGTCGTCGCCCCGCCTTTTCTGTACACGGCGATGAGAGATCACATGACTCCGGCCCGCATATAGAGGACGTGACGTCACCCAGCAGTGGTGTCAAAATAAAAGTTCTTACGCGATTGATGCACTATATTATATTATATGCAGGAATGATCAAAATTCCTGTGATATATTACACTGACACCGGCGTATTTAATGATAAATTTTATGAAAAAGTATATGTATTAATAGAGAAAGAAAAGTATACATTTACCTTTTTTTTACTTCATATAAATGTTTTTTTTTACCTATAGGGCCTACAATTTTCCTTAATTTAAATAAATGTTAAACCCCCAAAATGAAAAAGTAGGAAAACTGCACAACCTATTATAGCATATTTTGTTGTCTGACAAAAGTAAATAAGGTAAATGGGAACAATATATCAGACAACACCACCTTTTCCTCAGCCCTCATAAAGGTCTATTGTGATAAGATTATTTTTTTAAAAAGTTCAAATACTTATTAATATTCTAAACTCCAGAACAACAACAGAAAACAGACTTATATTTCTGAAATAACTCATCATTTTTTTTTTTGATTGCAGAGCACTAACTCACAAACACTAAATGTCTGAAATAGATCAAACATACATGCATAACACAAATTCAAAAGATTGTGTCGGCTTCAAAACTACTTAAAAATTCCTTTGCTTGAACAGAAAAAGTGTCAGACTCACATACATTCTAATAACTCTCCTTGAAGTGCTAGATATATCAAATAAGCATCAGCAAAAGTTTACTGGGTTTCCACCATAGTTCCTCCCTTGTGAAAAAAATAGTGTACTAATGTCTTTACTTAAACAATACATTTAGCACAAAAAAATATACTTTCAAGTCTATTAAGTGTGTTATATCCCTAAAAAAGTGTACTAAAGTGTATTTGATTACAGACATACTTTTATTCAAATGTGCTTCAGTGTACTACTTATGTTTAAATGCAAAATATATTTTCAAAAAGTACACAGAAGTATGTCAGTGTATAAAAAAAAAATATGTGTAAAGAGAATGCATTTTTATTACACTTCTAGTGATCAAAGCACACTGTTAATACATTTAGTACACTAGTTTTTCACAAGGGCTAAGAGGAAATTATCCCACGATGTTTAACGTAGGTCAAATGTACTTGCATAAACATAAAAAATGGATTGTGTCAGTTTCAAACTTACATTATATTTTATAGCAAAATTTATTTTTACATTAAATAGCCAGCAAACCTTTTGCTTATGGTTATTTGACATGTCTGGCACTTATTTCTATTTAAGGACAGCTACTCTAATGTGCTTAAGTAGATTTGAAGCTGGGACAATCTTTAATATTAGTGTTATGCACATACATTTGACCTATGTGAAATCAGGGTTAAATTTGCCTTTGGGGGGGGGGGGCACTATGTTTAAAACCCAGCAAACTTTTTGCTGACACTTATTTGATATATCTGGCACTTGTTTATTTTCAAAGAGAGTTATTAGAATGTAAGTAGGGCCAAAACTGGCACAATCCTTTAGACTTGTGTTATGTATATACATTTCACCTATGTGAAATCAGACATAAATTCGCCTTTGGGGCAGTATGTTAAAATCCCAGCAATCTTTTTGCTGATGCTTATTTGATACATCCGGAACATGTTTTTATTCGAGTGGAGTTTCTTGAATGGTTTTGTGTGCAATTTTAAGCTGACACAATCCATTATTTGTGTTTATGCAAGTACATCTGACCTATGTTAAATACCATGGGCTAATTAATTTCACCTTGAGGCAGTAAGTTTAATTTCTAACTGACTTTTTGCTGATCCTCGAGTTATCAGTTGTTCAACATCTAATTAAACATGCTTGAAGATGGGACAATCATTTATTTTTATGCTTATACATTTCACTTATGTGAAATAAGGGTCTATTTCCACTCTTGGAGCGCTCTAATTAAAACTCAGCAAACCTTTTCGCATATTTGATTTGAGGTATCTGACAGGATTCGTTTGCATAAGGGGAATACTGTTCCCATATCAATATGTATTTAATCAAATCCAGCCTAAATTTCTCCAAAATTTCTTAAATGAAATTAATAACACAAAAATGCTATACTTTCTCATTGACATTGATTGTAAGGATCAGGTATTTCTGCTGCAGTTTTATATAGTGAAGGTGACGTTTCACCTTCTGTGCTTCCGCGATCTCAGGAACAGACGTCTTGTGGTGAAATCCCGTAATGGAGGTGAGAGTGGCCACTTCTCCACCTTATGTCAAATCCAGTCCCGTAGTCTTCCATCACTGCAGACGTTACAAAATACAGGGTTGCCAACGTGGGTCAGCTTCCTGGAGTGAGAGCTTCAATTTGAGACAAACCCGACTTCATTACCATGTTTTTTCGGTTCAGTAGGCTATTTTTGCTTATTCTTGCTAGCTTTACGATATTTCGCTACCCATATGGCAAGCCATTTTAAACACACCCCTTTCCTATCTGTAATTGCATTTTAGATATCAAGAATTCGATCTGTTCCCCCGTGTAATAATTTATTTCTTCTAGTCGTAATGAAATTTACAGACGACCAAAACTCTATTCCTACTAGTAAAATAGTCATTTTAAATAAAGGCATATGGCAAGTCAAATTGTCTTTTAATAGGACCCACTCGCATAACTTAAATTTTACTAGTAAAAATTACATCTAACTATAGTAAAAATAAAAATAATTATTATTATTATTATTAGGCTATTAATTTCATATTGCAGATATCCTAATTTTTTTTGTCAAGAACCCAGGTCCAGATATACAAAATTCAGTTTTACTAGTAAAAATGTAATTACAGATATGTGCAATTATTTTTTAGAGGTCGGAAATAACACATCTTGAATGTGAATTTATACAGTAACAACTGAATTGCTGATATTTGCAATGGCATTCTGCTTTATTAGTATCTGTATTATGAAGCAAGTTTTCTAGCTTAGCCAGATAACTTCGATTCAAATTTAAGGTAGCCTGGCCTAAACATAAGTGAACGAAGATAAAATCCATTTAAACTGGGGTACCTTAAATCCGACAAGTTATCCGGCTAAGCAAGAAATCCTGCTTTGTGATAAAGGCTCCACTTTTGTCTTCACTTAGTTCAGGGTACCCCAGATGATTACGCCCATGGGCGTAAATCCCGGGGGGACGGAGGGGACATGTCCCCCCCTATCCAAGGGTTGTCCCCCCCAAAAAAATATATATATATATATAAAAAAAAATCGCGCTATCTATTGTGAAAAATATATGTATGTATATCTAAAATAATTCTGTAAGTAGAAAAAAAGACAAACGCAAAAAATGCATTTAGAAACAGTTAAGTTCCCCCTCCCCTTCCTCACAGTGGTTTGGCCAACTGCCTGCTTTCCCAGTTCATATCGCCTACTCCACGCACACGAGTCAGGGGTGTGGCTCAATTAATGTTGAACACCAGTAAGTAGGGTATTTTATTCACTTTAAATAAAGCGATTCTCTTTAATGTAGTTGATGCAGACTCATTCATAAATT